ATAGGTTTTGTAAGTTCTATTTAAGGTGGATCACAACTAATGGAACAAGTAAAAATATTGGCATTCTTTCAATTTGAAAGTTATAAAATTGAAATTTGCGCACATTAAATTCCATAAATGGATGTACTACATATCGCTAAAGTTAATCTTTTAATTTCTTTTATTTAAGTCAAAGTCGCTTACGCTAGCATAATGAAACCTCACGCAAGCAGGTCATTATGCACTTTTTTAGTTAGTTTCTGGAAAAGACTAGGTTTTGCAATTCCAGACCATGATAATGCTATTAAGATAATGGCCTGGAACACACAMTTCGCAAATATTGGATGCTTAGAAGCAAAACTTATTTTTYGGCAGCTCTTTCTTTTGGAAGCTCTTTTTCACCAGCGTAGTCAGACTATTGTCTTTTAAGAAGTTAATCTGTTTTTCTTTTGTTTAAGTCCAAGTCGCTTGGAAACGTAATAAAAGCTTACGCAAGCAAGGTCATTATGCAATTTTGCCGCTAGTTTCTGGAAAACACTAGGTTTTGCAATTCAAGATCATGTCGTTCCGGATAACTTTGCTTTTAGTGTTTGTCGTCATCAAAACAGTTTGTTCTGGTAGGTGAATTTGGTTTACAGTAAGTAATTCCAAACTGCATTGATAATTTCCACGACAAATTTCCGCGACATATTCATACTTACCCAAAGGCAAAAATACATTTTCGATTTAACGCATCAATCGCGGGATCTTTAAGCAGCGATATTTATATCCCCATTAACAGAGGTGGATCATGAATGCATCCATAAAATCGAAGAACAAGTTGAAATAGTGGTCAACCACCGCTTTGAAATTACATATATTTTGTTGTTATCATGAATAAATTACCGCGACATAAGTCATAAATGAAAACTTCTTGACGAGAGTAAATCATAAACGGTTATTCAAAAAGTTTGTTTTCGGATGCGTAGTTTACCATTAAAAGATTGCTTTCTGTACGTTTGCTCTAACTGAAAACTTTTTTTAACGGCATACTCATCGATGAAGTCCATGTACTTAAGCATCATGCATTTGTTTACTTGTCATTGAAGGGAAATGTTGGCATTGCACGAAGTGTTAGACTTTCGTTCGTGTTTGGACAACACCATGTAACAACATTGATTTTCCACCTAGAAGGATCTATTTGAACGCTATATGGAACGATCATAAATCGTCTGCTTAAATAAGGCAATGTAGAACGTCGTGTGAAAAGACAATCATTATGATGAAATGGACCAAGATTATAACAAAGAACTGAAAAAAGGAAGACGTCTACATTGAGTTTTGGGTTCCGTTTCGGTTGACCAGAGATTCTGTTATTSTCCTTGTAGTAATAGCTCAATCCTTTATCTGATAGTTGCTGTAATTTTTATAGGATTTGCATTTCAATCTTGGTAGAATTTTTTTTTTCTGGTATACACTGACTATGGACTATATTAGACAAGTCGATCACACAAGCTCGGATGYCTCACTTTGCTTTTTGAATAATATTTCAATAAATACACAGATTCTATTTTGCGACTGAAATGTGGTCAAAACCATATTTCATTTTGCGTTGCTGTAGCTCACTGTTACTATTTTACTCACACTTCGTCAGTATGTCAATTTTGTTATTAAGAAATGATTCTGAAAATTTTATCACAATCTCTGCGATGAGTTTCGAGAAAATTAGCTTTGAAGAAAAATGAAGGTGTATTTATTTTGCATCGTTTATCCAAATGGCCTGGTTTTATTGGAAACTTAATTATCAACAAGAATTATCGATAATCACTGTTACTTCTGTGAACATTTAAGTGCAATCGAATCGAAATTTGTGACGTAGTTGGAGCTACCCTGGTCCCAGAGGTTTGATAATTTCTMTCTTTGCTATTGTTTTTGTCGGCGCGAAGCGCCGTAATCGAGGCTTCTTTAAAATAATTATGTTCCTAGTAAACTTTTCTAAGGTCAAAAGGCTTATATAACGTTTGTATGGTCAAAAACGGCTTATATATATTTTTAGTAAGGAAATTATTATTTTCCTGGCAAAAATTATTATTATGTTTCTTGCCTGAATAGTCYTTTTTCCCTGAATCTCTCGACAATTGTGACTTACAGCTGGTTGGGACATAAGAATTGATATACTTCTCCCAGGAACACGTCGGCTACTCCTATTTTAGTCTATAATGTATATGGAGACTAAATTTACCGTGTTTTTTAAAACCAAAGTAAAACATTTAGATGCACTTTGAAATGGAGCAGTATTGAACAGAGATCACTCGCTGAGTTTTCCTTTCTTTCAATCCACAGTTATTACATTCGAGTGCAATTTTGATAGTGATAGTTGTGGGTTTGTCCAGTCTACAKCCGAYTCCTTCAAKCACAMKTGGGACAGAATAAAAGGAAGGGCATTAWATAGCCCTTATAAGTGCTGTCCAACTGCAGATCACACTACAGGGTCAGGTAAGAGAAAGTTTGACTTGCTCTTGCTCTTGCTCTTGCTCTTGCTCTTGCTCTTGCTCTTGCTCTTGCTCTTGCTCTTGCTCTTGCTCTAATGGCTAATGACGAGTATGCCATACGCATTAATACATTGTTATTCCAACTTGTAGGTTATTACTTTATGTTCAATGCAAGAGCCCACAGCTCCTATGGCACCAATGCCCAGGTCTACAAAACTATAACAATACCAGCGAAAGACAACATATATATGAGGTTCTATTACTTTATGTATAGTGATATGAGTAAAAGTTATGGATCAATGGGAACATTGTTGGTTACTGCTGGTAGCACGAACATCTTCTCTAAGACCGGCAATCAAGGGAAAGGATGGAAAAAAACAGACATAAAGCTCACAATGTCTGGAAGTAAAAAGGTAATTAGTCTTAAGCGGTTTAGATCTTTATTTTCTTCTAATCATTTTTATATATATATTTTTAAAGTTTACCTTTAAAGCAAACAAAGATAGAGATCCGTATGGAGACATTGCAATCGATGACTTGTGGGTTGCAGAATATTGTAAGTAAATACTACCAAAATGTATRATACATATTGATCAAGCTCAATATCACTAGAAATAAATACTGTTACAGGGTTTTTTTATTTAATTTAATTTTTTTTGCCACATCTCAGTTGACTGCTAATCCCATTAGGACACTCTAGCACCCTTCAAAACTATCGAAGCAAGATCATTGTTAAAGGTTTAAATTGAAAAAGGGAACAAGATTACATCTGAATTCTTCGAAAAAATTTCAGTCAAAATCCGAAACTTGAATTGCACCTATACAAAACCCAAAACCTAACATGGAAGCTGGCATTACCTAAAATTTCCGATATGAGTAATTGACAGTGTTTTCTACCTTTCTACCTTTTTTATTTTGAAATCACTCACACTTTTTAAACTGCTTAATATAAAATGAGGTTGTTATTTTATCAAAGACAAGGCGAACATAACGAATGTAACAGCCAGTGCAACTGAAGTTTGTCTCAACGAGAACGTCAACCTCGAATGTAATACATATAATGGATTCCCAGAACAAGACGAGTATCTCTTTTACAAAGATGACCAACTTTTAGCAAGGGGTAACAACGCACTGAAGACAATAAGCGTAAAAAGCTCTATCGCTGGTAACCATACATACCAATGTTCACCAAGCACCGATATACTTGGACAGGCACCAAATGATACAATCATTATAACTACACATGGTATGTAATAAAGTGTTTGTTGCTAGTACTTACGTACTCTCCTTGATGGGATTCTTTCGATTAAAAACCACGTCGGCGAACATGGCTTTAGGCCACTGATGGTTTGCTATATCTTTAGTCCCTTCGCAGTCTCTCCTTCTACCTCGCTTCTTGTCACTTTACAAATTGAGACAGACTGAACGTACTAAGTCTACTACTATTGTCAAAGACTTAACTAA